ATGTATGTATGTATGTATGTATGTATGTATGTATGTATGTATGTATGTATGTATGTATGTGTATATATAATATATATATAGAAATATATATATATATTTCTTGGGCAGCGACTTGACTTCTGGTTAGCGCCGCAACAAGACAGACTGGAAAAGCGGCTCCCGAGGGACCCGTGAAATCCAGGGCTGACAAACCATTGGGGGAGGGGGGTTGTCTTTTAGACCAGAGCCTTCTCGGAGAGAAGGTGAAAAAAGAGTGGCGTCTCAAACGCCCAAGAGGGAAGAAACTGGTTCCTTGAAAGCCAGAGACAAGCTCTATGACCTGGCGATGGGGGAGGCAGACATGGCAAAATGTCTGGCATGCAGTTCCCAATTCCTCCATTTATGCTAGTTTATGTTTGAATTCTGTCCTAATCACAACTCCACTCTTATTCTATCGATGGGTTTTAAATCTTCTCACCCGATCTTGTCACTTTGTCCAGCCATCGCTCCTGTTCTTGTGCTTAGCCCGGTTGCCTCCAACTTTATGCCAGACATTTTGCCATGTCTGCCTCCCGCATCACCAGGTCATAGAGCTTGTCTCTGGCTTTCAAGGAACCCGTTTCTTCCCTCTTGGCCGTTCGAGACGCCACTCTTTTTTCACCTTCTCTCCAAGAAGGTCTGGTCTAAAAGACAACCCCCCTCCCCCAATGGTTTGTCAGCCCTGGATTTCACGGGTCCCTCAGGAGCCTCTTTTCTAGTCTGTCTTGTTGCAGCGCTAACCGGAAGTCAAGTCGCTGCCCAAGAAATAAATATATATATAGTATCATATCATAAAAGCTGAAGAATTCTTACTTTTTTCCCTAGGATTCTTCCCGACTAAAACCACCTCAGAGAGCACTTCCAGCTAATCCAGTCCCTTCAAGCCACAGGACGGGGTTGTCCAAAGTGAATACAGGAGCAATACCACCCTATGGCACTTTAAGGAATACAGGAATACAGAATGCAGTCTTGGCAGAGGTGAGCTATCAAATGATAACAAAGATATATAAATAAAAGATAAAGGGGGGAAAATAAAACTCGAGTTTGTGTGATATTTTTCCTGTTTTGAAATATTCAACTGGACACATGATATCAGTTTTTTTCTTGTTTTTTGGGTAAGTTGATTTAAGAAATGAATAGTAAAGATATCCATATAATTGTAGCATGATATTTTCCAGGGGTAGAAAAGCCTAAAACTAAAATTCACCAAGAGATGAATTTTAAAGTGACAGATGCAAAAACTTTGAGGCAATGAAATGTCACTGGAAAATTTTCAAGACTCCAGATAAGCCTTTGATGGGAGACTCTTTAGTCCTTGGATGTCACCCCCCCCAAAGGTCATCTGCCTCAATTGTCTTCCTGAAAAGATCCCTTTATTAAACCCTGCGTGAAAATGTGAAACCAACCCAGGAATGGCTGGGAAGCAACAGAGTCATGGATCTCTCAGGAGATGAGGTGTACTGGGATCCAGGCAGTGGTAAATGCATCTCTGAAGAATCCCTAATGGTTTCCCTGGCTCTTAAAGAGGCAGTGGTTTGTCCCCTCTTCAAGTAGCCCTGCCTGAATCCAGTGAGTTCTGGCAAATTTTGTCTGGTTTCCAATTCTTCTATTTAGAGAAGGTTGATGGAAACCAACCAGTTTACAGCTCCTGTATGCCAGATTAATGTTGGTTGAATACAGGGGTGAAATTCAGCTGATTCTGACAGGTTCTGGAGAATCAGTAGCGGATACTTTGAGTAGTTTGGAGAACCAGCAAATATCACCTCTGGCTGCCCCCAGAGTGGGTGGGAATGNAGAGGCTGACAGATGGGTTGATGCAGCAAGGGAGTATAGTGGTTGAAGTGGTAATATACTGAAAGTAGTTCAGGATCCAGCATTACTATAAGACAAGTATTTATTTTGAGGAGAAAGGTTTTGCTTGTATATATCAGAATGAGAGAATTAAGCTTTAAAAAAAAAAGATTCCCATCAATAAGTGACAAAGGACCTGCATTTTTGTATTTTGGTTGGATTACTGCCAAAGTTTAGTAGAGTAATAAATTGGGGCCTGAGATCTGCAGAAAGGGGGAGTGATGAGCTCCTCACAGCCCAGATTTCTCTTACTCCCTTACCACTTCACTTCAAACAGATTGAAGTTGGTTGGCAAAACCAATAAGATTGAAATGACAGCACCCCCTTGTGTCTAATGAATTTCCCTTCCAATCTCTTCTCTGCATAGAACATTTCATTTCAGTGGCCTGATGGTGTAACAGGACTTCATTTTTAGCTTGGCATAATGTATAGTTGGTTTAAGAATCCTGGGTTCCGGATTTTTAACTTAGCCTTGTGGGTGAACCAAGCCATGTATCAATATTATTTTTTTTATAGTTCCTACGCCCTAACAGGCTACAATTGTTCATTCCTTGAAACCAAAAGTGCCCAAAGTTTCCTGAATCTGATTGTGCAAATACATCATGGATGTATGGACATGACAATGATGATGTTTAGATTCGGAATCTGTTTGATCTAATTTATCTACAACAACTAGAGAGCCTGTCATGGGACTTCAGTGAAGAGACTGATGCAGCCTGAACAAAATACTGTTATTGTACTTCATACTAACTTAGGTTTCTGCACTTTCTGCAATATCAGTTCCATATATAGCACATTGCACTAATCTGTACAACTGCTAGAGAATGCACATAGAAATAGAGAGGCGGTGCCATATAGGTAAATCCAGTGATAAAAATGGGTCTTTCGAAGCAAAAGAACAAACTCCTTACCACAGATTCTGAAATCCCATCCCATACTTTTTCATGTTGATTCCAGACTCTGACTTCTGGTTTCTTATATGAGACTCAGCAACAGTTATGAGCCATGGGCGGACAGATAGCAATAGCACTTAGACTTATTCATAGTGTTTTACACTATGAAGCAGTTTACAGAGTCAGCATATTGCCCCCAACAGCCTGGAAGAACGAGTCAACCTTGAGCAGGTCAGGGTCGAACTCCTGACAGTGGGAATGCAAAGTCATCCTACAATGCTGCATTCTAATCATTGCACCATAATGGCTGTTGATACACACAGACACATAGATACACACAGACACATACACAGATACAGACACTCACAGATACCTGGGAGGGGGGTATTCTTCAATTTTAAATTGTAGTAGTAGTTGTTTTTTCTCTCCCCACCCCTTCAGCTCCTTTGTAAAGTTTCTGTGGGGTTTGGGGTTTATCAATTACCCACTATTAATGCAAAGTCTTTCCAGGTTTCAAGTTCAACTAGACAGAATATATTTTTTTTCTGTATTAATAAAATATCAAGTCCTTCTTTGAATTCTGCCTCCTAAGCTAGATAAACAGTTCATTCTCTTGGGGCCTTAATTTTTTAAACCACCATCTTTTTTCCTCTTCTCTTTGTTTTACCACACAGTTCCCAATTCCTCCATTTATGCTAGTTTATGTTTGAATTCTGTCCTAATCACAACTC